TTCCCTTTAATTACTGATCGTAAAGCTTTGTGAAACACAGGCCCGAATAGTAAACTAATCGTATACTCTATTAAATAATACTCTCCATCTATAAGGAAATCTGTTTATCATACTAAAATATTCTTGCGTAGCTATGTTTTATCTGACTAGGTTGTTTCTACCAAGGGATTGTAGCTATAGATTTTAGTTTTTCTTTATCTATTGAATTCTCTCTGATACTCCCCTCTTTTTGATCTCATAAATTTGATGAACACCACGATGCATATATAAAAAGAAATAGGAGTCGGTACGGCTTCGGGTAATCAAATTTAAATTGACCCAATTTAAACATTTTGTTTTATTGTTATTTGGATGGAATTTAACTCGACCTAATTAAACTCGTTATTCGGGTAGAATATCTGCTTGACCTAATTGAAGCTAATTCACTTTATGTCTCTGATGTGGAAATTTCTATTTTTATTTTATTTATATATTTTATTTTATAAAAAAATGAGAAAAAATAAACACTTGAATGAAAATCTCAAAAAAAAAGTAGAGGTTGCCTTGAGGTCGTGTCATATGTGGCCAAAAACAAATATATATCCATTTGGACAATGTGAAATATCAATCTTATAGTGTTTATTATTTAACAAATGCTTTATAATAAGTTCACAATTGAATTTTCATTAGTTTTTTAAATATACAAAGTTTGTTGAAGTGTCAATAAATATGGAAATACAATATAATATTTTTGACAGAAAATACAATATAAATTATTTCTTTTACACCAAAATACAATATAATAATAATAACTATTATTATTATTATTATTATGTGTGTCTGTATTATAACTATTTGAGACAAATTGTGTCAAAAAAATGTTTTTATCAAGTATCAAAATATCATTTGAAAATGAGAAGAAATACAAGGTTATATATATATATATATAATGGACACCAATTTGTTATTCAATGAATTGGTTGAATTTGGAATTGATCGAAAAATTACATATTAATCCAACCTAAAATTATTTTCACCTGTCCAGAATTAATAAAATTTTAACTAATGAACACGCTAGGAAATCGAGGGTATTTTCCCTTGAATATCAATAATTGCTATTTGCTTTTAAACCAACGGGTTTCTTTTCCCAATACCTGTTTATAGTAATTAGAAAAAATATTCCCTCATTTACTCTTGGCTTTATTGTCTTCATAAACACGGCAGTTATTAAGAACTAGTCTGTATCCGTATAGTTAGTAAATTAAGCAAGAGGGTATTATCCATACAATAAATAAAATAGGCTTAATTATGTTTTGATCTCTCAAATATTGTAATTGTGCAATTTTGATCCTTAAAGTTTTAATTGGGTAATTTTAGTCCCTAAAAAATTGCAATTGTGTAATTTTAGTCCTTTAATTTTTAATTGAACAACTTTAGTCCCTCAAATATCATAAATGTGCAATTTTAGTCCCTCAAATATCATAATTGTGCAATTTTAATCCCTCAAATATCATAATTGTGAAATTCTAGTCTCATTACAAATTTAATAATTTTAATATATATATATACAATATTTTAAAAAATATAATTATTTATCTATTCAAGTTAACGTATATTATAATTTTCGTTAATGTATCAAATGATATATATTTATTATTATTACTAAATATAACTTAGATAAGATATGTATATTTCTAAGTAATATACTTATATTTTTGTAAATGTATATTAATATATAATAAGTTATATTTATCAAATTATTAATTTATCTATAAATATACTAATAATATTATTGATATTAATTTATCAGTAATATTATAAAAATAATAATATGAAAATTTTATTTATTTAGTAATAATAATAAATATATATATCATTTGATACATTAACGAAAATTATAATATATGTTAACTTGAATAAATAAATAATTATATTTTTTTAAATATTGTATATATATATTAAAATTATTAAATTTGTAATGGAAGAGACTAAAATTGCACAATTATGATATTTGAGGGACTAAAATTACACAATTATGATATTTGAGAGACTAAAATTGCTCAATTAAAAATTAAAGGACCAAAATTGCACAATTGTAATTTTTTAGAGATTAAAGTTACCCAATTAAAACCTTGAAGATCAAAATTGCACAGTTACAATACTTGAGAGATAAAAAATATAATTAAGCCAATAAAATATTAGGCCAGAGATGAAAACATGTTTCTTAATACGTTTTCTGTGTTCTTAACTACATGAAATTGAGAGCATTCGTGAGGACAGTACAAGTCATAAGCATAATTTTATTTAACAATCTTTTGCACTTCTGCATCTTTATTCAATGACAAGAACTCAAAATTGAGCATGCAATAGATTAAATCACTTTCAACTATTATTAATTATCCATCCATGTGACTAGTTACAGACATAGAGATGAGAAAGTCTAAAGTAAAAGAAAATGTACATATAAAACTTACTGATTAGGCTGCAGACTTGTACCTGCAAAGAACTTTACACCTCAAGACCCTATCCTGAACATAAAACCCTGGCATCACCATGATCTTAACTCTGCTTGGACCTTGTGACCTCGTACACATATCTTCCATGTAGTGAGGATCAAAGGTTTTATTCTCTTCAACCCTCAAAATTCCCAAAGGTGGATTGAAAGAAAATGCAAGCAAATGTAGCAGCCACATGCATTTTGCTGCCACAAAGAAAGCTTGAAGTAGTTGTTCAGGCCAAGGTCTTGTCCATTTTAGACTAGTGGTGATACAACTCATTTTCTGGTCACAAAACTTGCTAAACTCTTCACTGTAATATTTTGTTCCCTTTCTCAGTACCTCATTCCAGCTCAAATTCCTAAGGGCAACAAATGAGGAGAATTGTGCTTGACGATCCTGCTGAGGGTCTAGGAATTTTGAGCAACCGTTCTTTTGGAAAACACAATTCTCAAAGTCTTGGTAGAGAGACTGGTTTATGAAAGCTTCAAAATGGTATAGCACTGCCTTTGAGTGCTTGGAATTCAGAGATAGCTTATACGGTTGGAGAAGCAAGTTCAAGTTTTCTGTCAGAGAATGATCAGTTTCTTCAATGTGGTTTATAAGGGTCTTGCAGAACTGCCTCACTGATAATCTGGACTCTGACACTATCTGCAAGAATCCCTCTACCATTACTTCCTCACTCACAGGCATCAAATTTTCTCCATTCCCCTCAAATGATTTCCCTCTCTGAGGAAGACTACTAAGTTGGTCACAAAGTTGAGAGTCCCTTGTCTGCATCGCTTGCTTCAAAGCTTTCTTCAGCTCTTCACAATAACTCTCCAAGTACTCAAGCTTCTGTTTCAGCTCCCCCAATGAATTTCTCATCTCAGAAACTTCCATTAAGGCCACATCTCGGTTCTCGTTCGCTTCCACCAGCTCTTTCTTCAATGTCTCAATTGACATTATTCCCAAGTCCTTGAGAACCTGAGAAACATCTTCAGATTCTGCTCTATTGGGAGAATTCTCATTCTTATGCTTCTTCTTTAGCCTAGGAAACAACCAAGAAATCACCCCTTTGCTTTTGGGTTGTGGTTGAAGAGATGTGTGGGAATCTGTGACTGGGACAACAATGTTGGAACTCTTGCTGTTCCTTGCATTCTCAAATTCACTAGTTATGGTGGGAGGGTTACATTTATTGCAAGAGGAGGAGGATATGGACTTGAAATCCTCCATACTGTTTCTCCTCTTACACTTAAAATAGTCATTTGCTGGTGAAGTTTGAAGAACAGTAATTTGATTTGCACAAGAGCCGGTCATGGATTTGTTATCATCAGTAGTACATATGTGAGATTCAAGGTTGGCAAAACTAGAAAATAGTCCCTTTCTTGAACTTGACTTCTCCTTGTAATCTGCCACAATGGTTTCTATGCTGTTTCCTCCTTCTAACACACTCCCATCCCAACTTTCTGATACTGATACGCTTTTCATGGGGTTTTGATTGTACCCCACCAGTGGGTCATCTTCATAGCTCTGTCAATATTTCTCACATTAAGAAACTTTTTTTTACTTTGAGGATAACATTTAGAAACTAATTACTCCCACGGTCAAAAAATGACTGCAGATTTAGCACTTGAAAAAAAGTAAAATCAAAATGACTGATGTTTTCATTTTTTTTTCTTCCTAATTTGAAAAAAAAAAAAAAAAAGACAAAGACTATTAAAGGGGACCAGAGAACTCGAAGCCACAAATAATGACAGAAATAGAAAATAATAAAAGAGAACAGATAAAAATATTAAATTATCCTTCAAATTAAAGAACCAGTCAGATAATAAACGTCATAGTTGCAGAATTTGCCTTAGGATTCAGTTCAGTTAACTAAATGAACCATAAAGAGTTCCTTGACACGGAATTTAAAGCAAGAATCCTAATATGTTCAAAAAAAGTCAAAACTCTCATTCAAGGTCGGTGTTTCCCCGAGAACAATTAAGAAGAAAGGGGAGCAACGATTAAGGATGTAACCGCAATAATAATGACATCTACCTAACCCCCTATAAAGAAAGCGGCAGTTTCATAATTCTTTCAATTGTGATTAATAGCCTCGTTCAAAGAAAAAGGAGAACAACACAGACAATTAAATCAGGTCTAAAAACATTTCATATTCCACAAATTGAAGTAACTTAAAACTGGTAATTATCATCATCAACAGCAACAAATAACAATTAATTCAAACATAATCCAGCAACACTACTCTGTTGCTTAGAAAAAAATAGCTGTTATGAAATGACTTTGGATGATTTTAGGATGCCCAATTCATCAAAAGAAGTTAAAAAAAAAACAAATTTTCAAGCCAAATTTCGAGAAAACAATTCCAATACTCACAGGAGTGAAAACAGGGTAATCTTGGGCAGAGAAGTGAGAAACAGGGCGCGAAGCAGGGGAAGGGGATGGTAATCTAGCATTGACTGGGCTATTTCCTCGCATTAAAGCCGCGTGAAGAGCCCTTAACTCCACAGCTTTGGCTATGGCAGCTTGAATTTCATGCCTCGTAATTTCAGGGTTGCCATTGTTGCTGTCCTTGTAGTCCTTGAAAGCCTGTGCTGAAGTTGCTGTTGCGGCCATGAAACAGAACAGAGGAAAAAACAGAGTGGAACATGTAAATTTCGAGAAGATAATATAGGCACTATATGGAATAAAAATTAGTTTTTTTTTTTTTTTATATGGAGAGAATTACAAAGGGGGTGACCAAGTGGTATTTAATGGTTGGATTTGATTTGAAGGCTATATCTAAAGTAGAACCTTGGAGAACCAGAAAATAGAAAGAGGGATAGAGAGGGACACCCCAAGTCCAACAAATTTTGTTTTTTTCCTCATGGGAAAATTAATGTTTTTGAGGGCATGTGATAATGTGAAAAGAAGAGGAGGGAAGAAGGAAATTTTACTCTTACATGTTTGTAACACATCAGCAATGTGTTGCTAGTTTACCAATTTGCCCACATATTCCAAAAATTACTAGAATTCAGCATTAGGTGGTGGTACCACTGTTTCACATGATTACTTTGGTACGAACATGAGAAGTTCCATGCCACTATCTTCCACTTTCATGTCTGTGGTCAACTAATTCTGTTTTCAATTTAGGGATACTTTGAACTAGATGTTGCTTTAATGCTAATTCACACTTCGTGTGTAATCATCACAATTAATGCACGAGTATGTTGCCTTATGGAAAGGCATCAATTAACCTTGGTGGCTTTTCTTTTTCATGATGAGAACATGTTCTTGTGTGATAAGATAATATATTACATCCCATTATGCTACTTTCATCTACCCATTTTTCTACATGTGTACGTCCTTGTGTATCAATTTTGTTCCTTACTTGGTTTGAGCCAAAGATCTATTTGAGAAGGTTCCTTCTCTTGAATCAAATGCCCAATGCACAAACTGTAGTATTGGGAAAATTCATAAGGGGAAGCCCACTTATTAAATTTGTTGATTTAAGCTCAAATTGGACATTTTAAAGGCTTTTTACTTACTCCAACTGGAAAAGTAACTTCTTTTTCTCTTTTGCAAATCCCTAACGTGCAATTATGTTGGTTGAGGTCCATGTTCTGCAAATAAAAATAAAAATAAAAAATTGATCAATGGTATTGAGGCGTGAAAGGTGCAGTTTCTTTTTGGCGAAAAGGGGAAAGAAAAATAACCAAAACGTTCCAAAAAGCTTGACACTTCACAGACATTGAATCATATATTCGAGACAGAGTGTCACAGTGGGGATCAAGTGGGCTTTGGGAAACTTTAAATTACAAAAAAGCCCGTCTCATGCCATACATGAATATTAGTCTCTAAAGGGTATTTTTGAAAACGGAGAATCTTTATTATGCAGTCTGCTACCCTTTACATAACTAAAACTACAATTTCACATAGGACAGTGGAATCTTTGGGACATATTGACCCTAATATTATATGGTTTAAAATAATTATTTAAACCTAGTATGTAAACATAGTTGATTATTCTATGTTTATCAAAATTTATTTTATTTTTACTTTTGGTATCAACATTTTTATATTTGTAATTTACAAGTTACAACAGTTCAAGGGTTTCTTCATCTATAATGGGAGCAAAACAGCATATAGCTCAAGCATGTCAAAAGAATTATATAACTAACTCACATTAGGTAGTTTGGCCAACTCATTATGACATGGATGTGATCGGTCTTGACAACAGAAGAAAATTTAATAAGATGAATAGAGAAAAATCCAAAGAGAAACGAGGGTAAGAATCATCTTAGACAAAAGAATAAAACAGAAAAATGACCAAAAAAAGATAGAAAGAAATTCAATTGAACAACTGAACAAAGCTACGTAATGTATCTCTTAGGGCTTTACCCCACTTAAAGGCCTAATTCCTATAATCCTTTCTTTCTTTTTGTACACAAAGTGCCCATTTCTCTATTTGTCGAATTATATCTTTGAACCATTCAATTAAATGTTTTTTAGTCACTAGCACTTAGACAGGTCTGAAGTCTCCCTCAGCAATATTAAGAAATTGTATCATTGCTAATACAGACATACCTGCAAAGGAGCATAGAAAGCAAATATTAAGGCATTGTACATTTCTTTCTCTATCAAATGGGACCCCATAAGGATATATCAGAGCAAATAGGGGTTAATCATGGTGTGAGATTTTGCTTAGGAAAGGTATCTTTCTGTCCGTTGTGTCAATAATTGACTTAATTGGCAAGGAGGTAGGGGACAACAAAGGTCTCCAAAAATGACTTAAGATAAGGGAAGCCCTAAGATCAACGCTAATCAATTTAAGCATCTTTTAACTTCTCTTGATAATTTAAACCATGCAGACAACTTTGTTGTGCCATCATACCCTTTGCATGCTTTGGATATAAAAGGAAACCACCCTTTGGAAAATCTGAGACAAGGAAATGTAGGACCTGATAAGGCCACGGGTTCACATAACCCTTACACAAATGTCGCATTGCACTAGGAGTGGCCATTTAGCAAGCATTATAGTAGAAGAAATGTACTCAAAGTTTTGTTGCAAATTAAAACATCTTTTGTTTCCTTCCACAGAGAACATGGGTTCTAGATTTGTGTGCGTGAGGATCACTTCTCTTTCGTTTTCACAATGTCACAGCCTAGCCTGAAAGATACAAGTGATATGAATTTGGCGTCTCTTCCAGGGAATAAAAAAGGAAATTGTAAAGAAAGCAGTTAAACCGAGTACAGGCAACAAGTGTGGTCCTGTTTGTTTTCTGTAAAATGACAACACCACCTCAACTCACCTTTTTATCAGTGGTTTATATGCTTTACATTTGTCCATGTTATCTTCCTTACTTCTCTTCATTCTTTATACTTTATTTCTCGTAGCTTCAGTGGGTGTTGTTGATGAATGAACAAATGTAATATAATACCACTCCTCTCAATATCAAATTATCAATTTCTACAACAATCATCTTTGAACACCCTAAAGTTGTCACCTTATCACACCCCCTTCATCTGATCCTTCTACACACCAAATGCACATGTTAAACTATAATATTGTATTAATATAAAAAAAAAATGACACAAGCCGTATCAACGTTAAACTTTTCATGAAGTTTCTGTTAATAATATGTAATCCAAGGCAAAACAAGTTTACTTGTATTTGCATCTAAAATTGGGCTGATTTAGTGAAATAATGATTGAGTCACAGGAGATGGGTCAGCCCATTTATTTAGTTTAACCTTTCAATGGGTCCTTCTGTCAATTAATGGACAATAGACCTAAAAAAATAATGGTACCCACACACATAATTGTGTAAATTATATGATGGTATTTTATATGGATACGTGGTATTTTATTCTTATTTTATACCTACCGCCCGTATTCTATTCTAACCCACTCCATGTCGTATCTGATTGATTGAAAAGGATTTTGTGACATTTTTTATTGTATGATTAACCGATGCTCACTCTTTATTTAAAAATAAATAAATTTTATTAAAAAAATTATTAAATATTATTACATAAAAAAAAATTATTAATAAAAATGTGACACATTTAGTACCCCAACACATATATTGTAATAATAAAACTAACAAATAAATTTCTCAACATTAATAAAAGGGTTCACATAAAAACATTCACAAATGTTCTTCAATATCCAAAATGATTGAAAATGAACATTGAAAAATAAAACATAAGAGTTTACAAATTATTTTTAAAGTAATAAGTACAACTCCAAATCCATATAAAAATTCATGTCCTAAAAATTCTTTGCCCCGATGTCACAATATTAGAGCATACTCACAATTCAACCGTTGGCATTCTAGATATCACTCATAGTCGGATCTTCCTCACCTAAAACATCCACAATTGCACGGTGAGAAAAAAAAACATTTATATGTAAAGCACACAAAGAAAAATACAACATAATCTCATCAATTAATGAAGTCTTTACAAGCATATCCATACATTCTAATTCTATCAATCATGCATCATATTCACATCACAATTTCACAATCACACCAGTCTATCAAAAATCTTGCAATTAACACTATATCAATGGTCACGCCACCTCAAGGTTGTGTCACTCTAGACATAAGTGATACGTATTAATTGTCTCACTCATCCCACACTATGTCCAGGACAGGCCATCCATGTAGCATCACTTACCCATGGTCGTCTCATCCATGGTCATATGTGTGAGGAACCACAATCACATCACAATCACAATCATCACAAATCTTACTACGTCAAGGTCACGCTACCCTTCAGCCTAGCGTCGTGCTCACCCCTGACATAACAATGTGTCAAGGTCACGCTACCCTTTTAGCAGCCAGGGTCGTGCTCACCTCTAACATAACATTGTGTCAAGGTCACGCTACCCTTTTAACTGTATAGGGTCGTGCTCACCCGTGGTCATCAGTATGAGGATCCACAATCGCATCTCATTCACATTCCATACATCTCATTTCATAACTCAAATTCCATATTACATACAAATAAGTCCATACAATACAATGATTCACATACCCATCAAACGATTCACCATGAATACACATCTATAACAATAATATTTATAAATTAATATAAAACCCAATTAATTCACCAATTTAATACAACATTAAATCAAATAGTAAAACCCTCAATTTTTTTAAAACCTAACTCATATGCACTTTTCTACAATTTTGTTTTCTCTCCCAGATCATCATTTTCACAAATTAAATATATATTTCTAATCTTCAATACATACAGAATCTAATGGGATCATAAATTTCTCAAATATAAATAATTGTAAAATTACCCATAATTCTAAGGGACTCTTTCTCTACCCAAATCACCCATGTAACTCTGCATACAAATAATCTTTTTTTCTCCCGTACCTCGATAAATAGTAGTTAAAACTAAAATAGAGATCTCCTTGGTCTCCTCCTCTGAGTGCCTCTCGATCTTCAGAGAGTGTAGAAGGAAAAGAAGAGAATGTAGAAGAAAGAAGTCAGAACTGAAAAGTGTGATTTTGGGAGTGCTAGAACACTCTATTTATAGGCATCAGGCATCCCGGAACGACCCGTTTCAAATCTGGAACGGCCCGTTCTGGACTCTGACGGCATGTGTAAAATTCACAACCAGAATGGCCTGTTCTCAAACCAGAACGGCCCGTTATGGGGTTACATTTTAACCCATAACGACCATTTTTGGAACGGTCCGTTCCCAACTAGGGTTATAGGCATTTTTTGTGGTTTGGAACGTCCCGTTCCCATCTAAGATTTGTAGACAATTTTTGTATTATGGAACGGCCCGTTCCAGTTTGGAAACGATCCGTTCTGGACTACAAAATCACTCTCGTTTTAGTAGTTTGGAACGGCTAGTTCTAATTTGAGAACGACCCGTTCTGGGCTACTAAATCACCCTTATTGAACCTTTGGGTCCTCAAACAATATGTGAAAATCAAGCTGTTACAAAAAATATCAATTAATAATATATAATTATCTCAGTTATTTTTAGATATATTATTAATAGTTAAAAAATTAAAACAAGATTTTAAAAGTTACAGAATTAAAAATAGTGATTTTTAATTTAAAAAATAAAAATAATTTTATCCTAAATTAAAAAAAAAACATTTAATAAAAAAATATTCCGAAATAATTATAGAATTAGAAACAAATGAATTTCCGATGTCTGACATGACAAGACTTATGTGACATCAAATTAAGGCCCCTAATAATGTCATGTTGGAAAATAAGATCAGTCGACAGTCCACTGTACGGTTAAAATATAATATTTGAAGTTAATTTAAAATTCATTTTATTTCTTATAAATATTTATTAAATTTAATTTTTTGTTTTAAAATATTGTTAATTTTGATTTTCGTAAATTTTAAATTATGTTTTGCAATCATTTAATAATTTAATAATAAGTATTCAATCATGTTATATTATTAATAATTTTAGAAAAATAAACAAAATATACTCAAATCGTTCATCTTAAATTACTTTTTTTATTATTTTTATGTATATATTAGTATTTTAATTTATATATTACATGAGTCAAGTTTGATATATAATTTTTATGATTTTAATCAACCATCCTAAAAAATGTTAAAAATTATCTATATTGTATAATTAAAAATTGATAATTTATTCGTAGAAGAACATTAAATATATTTGTATATAAAAATTATTAACTTTGAACTACTCATAACATAAGTGGATGATTAAGGATTTTAATCTTCTTGTCGGTTACTCAATTGAATTCAAATGAATAAGAACCGTCACTTCATATACAATTCATTAAACAAAATGTACTCGTCATTTACAATAAATTTAATCTTTTTATTCAATTGATTTTCTGCTTCAACTTTATAAGAGAAATACATCAAATCAAAGGCTCTATTATTATATATCTAATTAGATAAAGCTTGGGTGTATCTGGAAAATTCATCTATAAAGGTTATTTAATAGTATTTACCTTTTTTACATGGTTTATATTAAATCTCCTAGGTCAGTGTGTTTTAAACTAATGAATTTAGATTCACGTTTAGCCAAGAAGAAATAAGTTTTTAATTAATTTTGATTCAACATACATCACATTTTCCAAGTTGTCTATCATGGAAAAATAATCAAACCAAGATATTTCAATTTAATAAAATACTTAAGAGTTAATATGCATGTCTCAACTAAGGTGTCATATATGATGCGAGACAAATACACAAAAGAAGATAATGCAGTTTCATTCTGATGGTTATCTTTCGTATTCGACGAATATACTCTGTAGTAATGAAGGGAAAAAAATAGACCATTCCCAATATCCTTTTCCTATAAATTCACTGTTCATTATTATTACAAATTACAATCTTATCAAATTCAAGTGGCATTTTACCTCTAACTTTTTCAAACAATGCTAAAAAATCTAATTGGTTCTAATATTAAGCACGTTTAAAACTAAGGTTATTCCACATGTGCGAGCTTCAAATAACTTTGTCTTTTCCCAAACTAAAATGGTCTTTGAATCACCAAGATAGATATGTTCTTCTCCATCTCCTATAGAAGTGTACAAGAAAGGAATAGGAGAAATAAGTTGTAGAACATAAAGTTCAAAATGATCTTTCATGATCATTTAAATCCTTTATATTGTTTTCTATGTAAATGAAAAACACTAACTAAAAGTCTGATATGTTACTATATATTATGTTAAAGGACTTGTTGGGAAAAGAAAGAAAAAAAAAAGGACTTACACGTACAGTTTGCAAGTTTTCCAAGATTTAATTTTTTTTCAATAATTATCAGGACAACAAAACTAACAAGTTTGTGATCAATATTTAGGGACACAAAAAACTTAACGATGTAGAAGAATAGAGAGATAAGTATTTTAAAACATAATAGAGATGGCAATTAAGAGTTTTTGATAAAGCATTTAAATAAGTTCAAAATAAAAATATCATTTTTATGACTATTTTCTAAACATTTGAAACTGACTATAACATCGCTCCTACGTTCTAACCAATTTTCGTAATGAAAGACCAAGTTAAAAAGCAGTAACAAAAGTTTTATACTTTTATTTCCAAATAAGCCTAAATTTGAGTTTCAAAATTATTTTCGAAATTAATTATTGCAAAAATAGAGGTCCAATGAAACTCATTATTGGACACAAGTGAAATGTAAAAGGGTTTGCATCGCACCTTACCCAATCTCGTAAACTTAAGTAGTTTTGACAACAAATCAACTAAATTTTGTTTCCTTGACACCCAAAAAACTAAAACATGTCATCGACCATAAATTGAAGAATTGAAATTTAATGTTCGCAGCAGCAGATCGTCAACTATCCAATTTAACAGAATTTGGCTTCGTGTTAATCCAGCAATTGTGCAGAAGGTTGTATAAAATCAATTTTCTTTTCCATTTTGAACTTAAGTGGAGATTCAATACAATATTTTACAGGAGTATAGCACAACGTTATATATGCAATTGGTAATGGGACAAAAACTCGAGCATGAATTCCGTCATAGCTAGAGACTAATCTTCACTTCTGCACGACTCTTGTCTTTGGGAAATCACGAGCAAAGAAGTTTTCTGAAACCAATAATCAATAGACCAAGTCACAAACTTAACAGCGAAAATCAAGTTAGAAAACATTTTCATGCATGCACACTTGAATGTTAATTTGATTACTTTCAAACATGATCACTTAAAATCAATGGCTTTACCGTTAAGTTCAACTAAATGTACTTCAACCATATTATAGAGAAAGGAAACGAGGTTGATTTCGGAAG